GCATGCTCTATCCGTTACACTACTGACGCCCATTTTGCACATCCCTCTTTCTACGCTAAAGCGCACCGATCTGTCAGCCGCCAGCCGTCAACTGCCTGGCCCGGGTAGTCGGCCTCTGCGAAGAGTGACTTGTCTCGGGTATGGCACAGGATATTCCTGAACGGATTTAAAAAGATATTGATTAGAAATTCGTTGATAAACATTCGATAGGCCTACGTTGAAAGAGTGATCGCAAAGCGGTGGGCCTTGTGGTGTAGTGGTAGTAAGCGCCCTCGGTAAGAGTGGAACGTGGGTTCAACTTCCACTTGAGGTCAAATATTTCGCGTGCCTCTCAATCCTCTTAGATCTATATTAGTAGACAGCGTTGGAATTCCTCGCATTGTGTGATGTAACTTTTGTAGTCGTAAATTGTCATGGAAAAGAAAAATAGTAAATGAATGCCAAAACACTATGAATTCTAGTGCCGCTACAGCATGATCGGATTCAGTGCCGATATGTGCTCCTCCAGATAATTGCTGTTGACGGATGATTGCTGATAACCGATAGAAATAAAGCAAGAGAGAGAGTAAGGAGAAGCAAGGATCTGGGCTGGTGTGGTGGAGAGCGAGTGAACTCCGGAAAAGATAGTCGCACGTTCGAGGCTCATCTGGTGTTCTCACTTCTCTTCATATCTCAGGACCCTTGTAATTTTTGTGGTATTTAGAGGTCGTTAAAAGTTATTTCCAGAGCTTAGTTAACGTCAGAGCGAATGTGGCACAGTGGTTAGAGGTGTTTTTGCGACTCATACCTAATAAATCGATGGTTCGATCCCGCGCCCAAAGCTCACCAAGCCTTTCATCTCTTTGGTGTCGGTGAATCGGTACCAAACCTGTCTGGGAGGACAACAGCACTGACTTGTTAGATCGGTAGGCCACCGTCAGTCATTGTAGGCTAGATATGCATCCAGTCACCTCAAACGATACTAGATGAAGACGAAGGGGCGCATCCCTCTGGGACTGATCACAGCCGAAAGCATTATCCGGTTCTTTCTGATCAGGAGGGAGCAAATGAAAAATCGATCTCATTCGCTGGAGAGGAGCTCTTCATGGGAGTGTTAGTAGTCATTCGAAAGCTGAAAATTGAGGCTACAGCTCCACATGGCCGATTTTTCAAAGCACCCCTTCATAGCGCTATAAAATCTGAAATAAAATTATGTTTCACACGACCACGTGTTTATCTCGCTTATATTTTGCTGAACAGAACTCCTTCCGTAGAGTGTCGACACTCAAACTGTAGCACAGGCTTCAGAGAGCTGAGAAACGTTCTTGTTTCTCAAAAAGCTCTTTGACCTTCTAATCACCCTTGGTCTTGTGATTTGTGATTCGAACCTCGCTGGACAGAGCTCTTTTTTTAGATTATCAGTAATCATCTGATAGCGTAACGTTTCCTCATTCTAGCAATGTGCTTATTTTCTGGAAATATGGTTCATCAGGGAAGAAAGATCGAGTTCTACACTATTGGCAACGTTTTTTACCGGCTACACGACAAGGCAAGGGCAGTGGCAGAGGGCGGGGCGAGGCGGGACGGGACGGTCAGTATATTTCAATATGCCTGGTAATCATTTTTGAGCCACACATGTCAGTGATCTGTCAAGGAGGGCTGACTTATAGAGCCCGATACACGTGTTTCGATCTTGCTCTATAAGTCAGCCCTCTTTGACAGACCACTGAAATGCGTGGCTCAAAAATGATTACTAGGCATATTGAAATTTGAGCTGTGGTCTCACGAAAACACTCGAAACGAAAGGTCGATATATTGTTATCCAGTTGGGAGTTTTTCCTCCGCTTTGAAAGAAACTCCAAATAAAACGTTTGACTTAGCTACTACGGATATTTCTCTACACATTGATATGCTTTCGGCTTCCAGCGAATTATATGCGTGATAAAAAGGAAAGCGGAAGGCGAATGCGAAATATAATCTTTGACTGGATCCTACAGCGTTATATAGAGCTGTTTTGAAACACCGGCGATGTGGAGCTGTAGCCTCAAGTCTCAGCTTTCGAATGATTACTAACACTCCTGTGGAAAGTTTCCTCTCCAGCGAATGAGATCGGCTTTTCTTCTGTTCCCTCCTAGCAGAAAGAACCGTGGCTCATAACGGACCATATGCATGACTCAAAAATTAGTTATCAGAGGCGTGTTTTCGAAAAACCGGCAACGTGGGGCTGTAGCCTCAAGTCTCAGCTTTCGAATGATTACTAGCGCTCCTTTGGCAAGTTCCTCTCCAGCGAATGAGATAGGTTTTTCGTTTATCCTCTTATAACTGAGTAGTTCCTCACTGTTCATCTCCGATAAACTTCTACAATTCACAAGAATATCTCAAAAGATGGGGAACTTACGCTTCGCCACCAAGGGTTAAACGCGGGTTCAATTCCCGCCTAAGGTCAATTTTTGTGTATCGCTTAATCTTCCTAGCACTAATTGAAAAAGTATAGGTTATGGTAAATAGAAAGCTGTCAGCTCAAATGGTATTAGTGCCGAAATGTTCTAACCAAACTAAACCCGTTAAGGGCTGATTGGTGACAGTTTCGATAGTCCATATCGAAGAAAGAGCAGTTGGAAAGGTGTAGCCTCGTGGTGTCGTGCTACCACGCGGGTGAAACGCGGGTTCAACTCCCGCCCGAGGTAGAATTTTTGCGCACCATCTGTCTTCTTTATTTTTGAATGAATATTTCAACATCAGACCACTGCTAGAAAGCAGTTAAATTATAAAAAAAAAAACTTAGGACATCCTTAGAGTTGTTGATGTTCGGCTACGGTCGTCGGAACTTGCGGAACACTCACTGCCTCTGCCCCTAGGAGGGGAAGGAGTCTCCGACTAACTCCCTCGGGACCCTGTCATAACCCTTGACCCTTGAACCTTGACCTTTGACCCGAGAAGCAATGAACAACAACAACGACATCACTTACATGCGCAACCTTTCAGAATATGTAGAAGTCTTTCGATATATTTTGCTGAGATTTCAGCAATATGAAGTGGAATCGCAATTGTTCGTCTAGTTTGCTAGTTCTTACCAACTTATTTAACGCCTAGAACGCGTGTGGCGCAGTGGTAGAGGTGCTCTGCGTCGCCCACACGGTCAGTGGTTCGATACCTCGCTGAGGAATTACCAACCTTTCCATCATTCTGGGATTGGTAAATTAGTATCAGACTTGCTAGGCAGCACTGACTTGATACATCGGTAGGCTATAGTGAGTCATTATGAGAGCCAAACAGATGCGCGGCGCAACCCCTTAGGGACTGATCAACGTCGCGATCTTCATTCTCTACCCTTTCTAGCGCCTATCTTTCATGGCAAGTACGGTTTGGAGTACAATCACAGGAATGCTGGGATACCAGTAAAATTCGGAATCCTGAAGCAGCTTCGAACTCCCGACTACCTTCTAGGAACTCACGTGTTAACCACTGCACCATCGAGGAACATGCTATACCCCCCACTCGGCCATGTTGTCTACGAGTTCGAGCCTCGCATGATCTCTTCGTGGAAATCTCCCTTACAACTGAGCCACATCGAAACACTCAACTTGACCCTCACTGGATCTCCACATGTTGACCGAATGCAAAAAAAGGCTCCAGCGAAGATGGACGATCTCTCACTCTCGCCGTCTGATTCTCACAACCGTTGTCATTGGAGCGCGTTATCATCCACTGTGATCTCAGTTGATGTCTCAGAAAGCTTCATGATAGGTATTGTATCATTGTCATCTTCCCTGAAAATGTCCGAATTTACCGTTGGAGAATTATAAAATGGTCAAATGCATCGTGGTTATCGCGGCACAAAAGAGCGCTAATGTGGTACCGGCGCACAGTCCTCTGCGTCTCTGACCATGTAATTACACCGCCGCCCGTCATTGACGACGCCCGAGGTCCGGAGAGTTTCTCCCGGCTGCTTTTTGTCTTCGTGATCCAGCATCGTTCGTTTTTTTCTAGTAGTTATCGTCCTAGTCATCATTTCCTTATACCGGCCTCTATCCGTGCTTTAAGTGGCCTGATCTTTGGACTTTTTCTTAGTAGACAGAAGTTGGGTCCGCCATATTTCCCATTAATATGACGGTGAGCTTAAACCTTCCGAGTGGGGTTAAAGGTCAACTTTCCAGCAGGGATTTTCTCCTTCGGGAAGACCAGTGGGACCACGGCTACCATCGTGATGAGTATGGGCTTTCCTGTACGGAGTTTTTCTTCTTGTAATCGGCCTGGTTTGTTTGCCATATCTACGCTAAGTCCCGACAACCTCCTTTATTCATCGGTATTTTTCTTGTGGTTTTTCTGCTTTTCGACCTCTTGTGGTGCGAAAATGGTCTACTTTACCTGACGGTAACGAAATAAAGCTTGTTGATAAGAATTCTTTCTATTTCGGCCCCTTTTTCAGCGGTGTGAACGATATCACAAATATTACCTAATAATAAACCCATAGGGAGCCTAAGGTAAGCAAAAATCAAACCTCAGACAGGATTTGAACCCGCATTTCATCCATACATGGGACGCATGCTACCGCTACAGCACAGAGGCTACCACTTGCCCACCATCATTCTTCAATATCTCTCTGTCCATAGCTATCGGCCAACTCTTATCGTAATATAAAGCAGTGTCGCTCTATGAATCCATGTTAAGCTGACAGCCATTGTTAATCAAGAATTTTATGTCTGAACTGTTTTTTCGCTGTAGTGGCAGTGATTGTTTTGAATTCCCCCTAGAGAGTTGAGTGGTGAGTCAAATAATAGCGCTAGAGACACTGAAGAATGAGTGGTGTTTGAAACGGTGCTTCGCTGGTGTAGTGGTAGGACGCGCTTCAGGTATGGGTGAAACGCGGGTTCAACTCCCGCCTGAGGTCAGGTTCTTTGCTCATCACTTAATTCTCAGGTGACTGAAGGCATTATAACTTACGAAAATGCAGTAAAAATATTGGAAATCTTGAGCTTTTTAATATACCCCAGAGTATTGCTCAGTGATGTGGCCGGATTTGACGTCGGACAGGAATCAAACCCGGATCTCACTCTTTCTCCGGGGCGCGTGCTTAACCAATTGCACTACCAACGCCTGTCCTGTTATCAGTATTTTACGCTCGCTTCAACGCATCAATCTCTCAGCAACCAACCGTCAACGGGTTTGGCCCGGCAAGCAACATTGGCTTTGATCGCAGTTATGCTGACAAATATGGGATATATGCGATCAACAAAGATC